AATTATATATATATATATATATATATATATATATATATATATTTGTATATATATATATATATAATTATACTATTTGCCAGATATACAGTATATTTTAACAATTTGTTTTGACTTCACTACAATGACAATATAGAAAAAATATATATATTTTGGAAACAACATATTTTCACTCAAACTATTTTTTCTAACACAGAAAGAAAGCAATTTCCACATATATATCTAGTATCTCACTTATGATCTCACTAACTCCCCCTGCAGGCTCAAGAGGAGATAGCAGCTCTACGGAGAGAGGTTATGAAGTCAAAGGCAGCGCGAGGGCCCAAGAGCAGCGTGACCCCTCAGAGTATCCTGAAGCGAGTGGAGGCCGAACGGGATGAGGCCACAGCAGACCTCAACCGCATGACCACAGAGAGAGACTGCCTCAGAGAAAGACTCAAGGTAGGATCTCCAGCCTGGCATGATATGTGCTGTGCACAGAAGATGTTATTTAGGAGCACTAAAGGAAAATCACTTACGCACTAGAGCAGCCTTTCTCAAAGTGGGTGCCGCGGCACACTGGGGTGCCCCCTAGCTGTGTCAGGGGTGCCGCCAAAAAATTACGTAGGCTAAAAAAAATGTGAAAAACCCCCCCCCCAGAAAAAAAACAGCTGACATTTCATATATAAATATATTTGAATTTACATTCTTCTTTTTAAACATATGAACATATTAATAAAATTGTAAATTCATTTTAGATAAATATATAAAATTAATCATAAAAAAATCCGTCTCACAAGACCGAAGCAAGACACACACAACTTGACGCAAGTGACGCAAGCAACACCTCAGACTGACAGAAAAGTAAAAATAAACGTGAATTTAAGCCACTTTAGTTACAGCATTATGGATCGTTTTTTGAAAAGAAAATCCCCACAAGAGCCGGGGATTTTTATTTTATTTTATCTGCATCCTGCACTTCATTTGAGTTCTCCTGTTCTGGATTTGTTATTGGGTTCTTGTATTGGGCGGTCCACCTCTTACGGTTTTATGGCATTTGTGTCTCTGATTAATTATTTGTGAATTACTTTCCAAACCTGTGTTTTTAAAGGTGCTATAAAGTTTTTATTATTATTGTTATTTACAGTTCATATTATGCTCTGTTCATTACTGTTCTGTCTAACTAAACAAGACATTTGCATTTAAATTTGGGTTATGCAGTGTTTTTAAATTATATTTTACACTGGGGTGCCTTGAGATTTTATGCACTTTTGAAAGGTGCCCTGACTGAAAAAAGTTTGAGAAAGGCTGCACTAGAGTACAGTAATAAATTGAGTCATCTCACTGGGGAATGATACCAGGAGAGAGGTGTGCTTTTTTAAGACTGCTGAGTGTATGTGTGTTCCCTTTGAACTGCACGTGCCTCAGATCTCTCAGGAGACAGCCATCAGCGAGAGAGCTCACCTGGAGCAGAGGGTGGAGGACCTGCAGGCTGCTGTACTCACAGTAAGAGCTCTGTGTTAACGACAGCTAATGTACTCACTATAGTTCAGAGGAAAGCAAAATCACCAATCAGATCTCACTTGTTTCTTTTAGACAGCAATAAGATTAAATGGAGCAGAAATGGAGACCTTTTTAAGGTCCGCGTATCATCCGATCATTTGATTTCCAATTTGAAATGAAGAAAGCAGAAAACGGCACCTTTATTTGTTTTTTGTTTGTTTTTTTCCCAAAATTGTTTAAAAAATAATAGACATGAGTTAAAATGAACTAACAATTAACAGTTTTATTTTTATTATTTTTTATTACTGTAACTTTTATTAGTGTTCTGTAACTAATGTATTCACTTTTTAGTTAATATTAACTAATTGGACCTAAACTTTTACCCTTTCTGTCTGCCAACAATTGTTTCTATGTTTATTTCTTTATTTCTAAGACATTTTAGGTAATATTGAGTCAAAATGGATACTTGAATTCAAACCTACGTGTATTATGAAAGCTCTAATTTTCCTCTGGGCTATACCATACTACACAATATCAAAAAGTATCATAGTATAACATAGTACAATACTGCACAGTCCTATATTGTTTCACTATACTATACTACTGTATACTATACTATACTATACTATACTATACTATACCATACTATACTATACTATAAAGCAGCCTTTCTCAAAGTGGGTGCCGCGGCACACTGGGGTGCCCCCTAGCTGTGTCAGGGGTGCCGCCAAAAAATTACGTAGGCTAAAAAAAATGTGAAAAACCCCCCCCCCAGAAAAAAAACAGCTGACATTTCATATATAAATATATTTGAATTTACATTCTTCTTTTTAAACATATGAACATATTAATAAAATTGTAAATTCATTTTAGATAAATATATAAAATTAATCATAAAAAAATCCGTCTCACAAGACCGAAGCAAGACACACACAACTTGACGCAAGTGACGCAAGCAACACCTCAGACTGACAGAAAAGTAAAAATAAACGTGAATTTAAGCCACTTTAGTTACAGCATTATGGATCGTTTTTTGAAAAGAAAATCCCCACAAGAGCCGGGGATTTTTATTTTATTTTATCTGCATCCTGCACTTCATTTGAGTTCTCCTGTTCTGGATTTGTTATTGGGTTCTTGTATTGGGCGGTCCACCTCTTACGGTTTTATGGCATTTGTGTCTCTGATTAATTATTTTGTGAATTACTTTCCAAACCTGTGTTTTTAAAGGTGCTATAAAGTTTTTATTATTATTGTTATTTACAGTTCATATTATGCTCTGTTCATTACTGTTCTGTCTAACTAAACAAGACATTTGCATTTAAATTTGGGTTATGCAGTGTTTTTAAATTATATTTTACACTGGGGTGCCTTGAGATTTTATGCACTTTTGAAAGGTGCCCTGACTGAAAAAAGTTTGAGAAAGGCTGCTATAAAGTGTAGTTATTGTCATAGAACGTTATTGTTAAGGACTGGTGCTATTGTTCTGTGTGTGTCCAGCTGGAGCTGGAGCGGGGGGAACAGAGAAGCAGGCAAGCTCAGATGAGGGAGACCATGATGGGTCTGGAAGAGGAAGTTCACACGCTCGGGCGAAAGCTCAGTGCCAGTGAGGAAGAACTCGCCCACTTCAGAAATGAGTGCAGCAGCCTCAGGTACAAGCAAGAACAACTAGCGTATATGTGTCCGTACAAAGGTTTTGTTAGTTTAGTACTTTGAATATTAATTAATTTGTGTGTGTGTGAATGTACCAGACTGGAAAATACTCAGGTGGAAAGTTGTCTGAGTGAGAATCAGCGGAGACTGACCAGCAGGATTGGAGATCTACAAAACGCCCAGGAGAGAAATCAAATAATGGATGAGAAGAACAGTGAGAAAAACAGACAATACATTTAATCTGTGCTTTTATTTTGTAAACAGTTGCGTTTATTTATCAGTACATACAGTATAGATAGATAGATAGATAGATAGATAGATAGATAGATAGATAGATAGATACGAATTATATAGAATTATTATAAGAAAATAATTATATAATTAAAGAAATTAATACTTTTATTCAGCAAGGTTGAATTAAATTGATTAAAAGTGGCAGGAAAAACATTTATAATGTTGCAAAATATTTCTGTTTCCAATAAATGCTGTTAGTCAAAACTTTTTTTTTTTACATTGATACAGTTATACGAAATGTTTCTTGAGCATCAAATCTTCATATTAGAATGATTTCTGAAGGATCATGTGACACTGAAGACTGGAGTAATGATGCTGGAAATTCAGCTTTGATCGCAGGAATGAATTACATTTTACAATATATTCACATAGAAAAGAATTATTTTAAGTTGTAATAATATTTTCACAATGTTACAGTTTTGACTGTATTTTAATTAAATAAATGCAGCCTTGTTGAGCAGAAGAGTCACTTGTACATTACATTAAGAAATCTTACAGACTCCACACTTTTGAATGGCGGTGTATCATGTTTTTGGATCAATGTTTTGAATGAATCAGTTGGATACTTGCAATAATTTTAGTGTTTAAACAGTGTATGTGAGTCACTGCATCATTCCTCCTCTTTCTGTGTGTTTCAGACTCTCTCCAGAGGCAGGTGTCCGCACTGCGAGAGGAAGTGAACACACTGAGAGGTACAATCTCAGAGCTGGACCAGCAAAGAGACGCACTGCAGGAACAGCTGGAGAAAAAATCTGATCTGCTCAGCACAGCAAATGACCAGCTAGATGACAAGGTACCGTCCATAGTACTTACACATAGTTAAACTCACATGTTTTTGGTTGATTTTAGGTTACTGATATCGTTATTTATTTGCAGGAGAAAACCATTAGGATTTTGAAGCTGAGAACCGAGGATCTTGAGACGACTCTAATGTAAGTTCTCTGTTCATTTTCACAGATTAGCAGACAGTCATGTGTATTGATTTTGAGACCATTATGATTAAAATGATGCCAAAGTTCTGTATAACCTTACTGTATGATTTTCTTTTAATTTCACAGTGTGCTATGTTTACCATCCAGGTATAAGCTTAATGCTAATGCATCATAATTAGACTATAGTCTATAGCCATAGCTGTTCTTGACTGTGGCTCATGCTTATTATTATGCAGCTCTCTGGAATACTTGATTCTGATTGGTCAACATTGTGTTGTTACTGATGCTAAATATTTGACATGCCATTGTTAATATTACAAAAAAGCGTCACCCTGTGAGGGTTTATTTTGCCAGTCACCTGGGTACAAAATGTGTCCTTTCCTAGAATGTGTTTGTGTAGTTTCCCCTTTAAATACAGTACTTTCAAATGTTTGGGGTTGGTAAGATTTATTATTATTATTATTATTATTTTAATAATGTGAAATATTATTACAATAAAACTGTTTTCCATTTTAATATATTTCAAAACTGAGTTTTCAGTTCAGCATCATTACTCCAGCAGTGTCACATGATCCTATTTCCTTTCTTTGTATTATCAATGTTGAAAACCATTGTGCTGCTTAATATTTAAAATAAGAAATATTTTATAAAATTATAAATTTTAATGCAATTTAATGCATCATTGCTAATTAATTCCTTTCAAAAGAAGAAAAAAATCTTACTGACCCCAAACTTTTGAACCATAGTCTCGTTTCCTCTGTGGATATTTGGGTATATGAGTGTATGAATATGTGAATATTAGTATAGTAAAAGATTTATGATTATGATATGACTGACTATGAAAAAATGATGATAATGATGTGACTTCCTGTCCACAAGTAGTGGTAACAAATACCATGTGTCACGTTTTGATTGATTTATGATCCTGTGCAACACACACACACTATGGATTGGGTTATAAACTAAAACATTTTATTTAAAAATACTAAAATAACAAAAGTAACGACCAAATTTATACACACCAAAAATATGATTTTGTGTTTGAGCCCAGAGAATCACCAGAAAGCTTTTGATGAAGTGTCATTCTTTAAACATCTAGTGTTGTAAAACCCTTAACAAACCCAAAAATATTTTGACTCTTTCTTTGTCTTTTTAACATTGATCCTATTGGCGTCAGGAAACAGATACAGATGTTCTAGAATAAACTACAACACCTTTTATTGTTGAGAAGATTATTGTACGGTTTGTGTGGGTAAATGGGACTCTTTGGCTTGAATTTGTCTTAGGCATTACCATAAACCTATCCACAAGTTTCCGAGGGGCGCTCCAGTAAAAAATAAAGTGGGTGAAACTTCCGGTGACGCGGCGGAAGTAGCATTCCAATGGTATTTTGTGTGTTAGTTAGCGAAGGTGCTAGCTGTTTTTTGGAGAATTATTTTACTATTTAAAGACGCAAATCTTTATGAGAGATGTCGTTACGGAGCTCAGGGACAATATGTGCTGTTCGCGGTAGTATGTATAACCGGACTAAACTAGTTCAGTGGCTTAAACGTGATTGTTTTGAACATAAGCTGAAAACGAGTGATCATGCCAGAGCCCGTCTCTGATCCTGCCAACGACTGTAACGTTAGTTTCCATCACCTCCCAAAAGACGACGAATCTTCCTGTGTACATTTTTTTTAAATTCTTTATATTTTATAAACTCTATCAGCATGTGATTGGCTGTTCGCTACTGATGTTACACCTAAACTCAGGATCAAAGCCTGTGTTGACAGAATACCAAATGTGCCAGTAATGTATTCAAGCAGCACATTCATTTTTAATTTTGAATAAACTCCAAAGCACAATGACTAGTGTGTATTTTTTTATTTGAATTGTTTGTCAGCTCGCACATCTGTCTGTCACGATGCCTTGATGAGTATTGATAATTAATAATGTTATTATAATACTCCCAATCAACTACTGCGGAGGGTAAAGGTACTGTTATTTCACCCTTTTTAATTTCGTTGAGGTTGTGTTCCCACATCGTTAGCTAGTTTGGATCGCTATAACTTGAATGACTGTCAACTGTTGAATAAACGAGTGTCAAGCATGTCAAATCGCGCTTTGTTTACTTCCAACCGGAAGTCGCGCCCACTTTTGACGCAAGGCCTCATGGGGCGTAGGAAACTTGTGGATAGTGTTCAGGGACTACTGATCCTACTGAGTTCCTCTTACACACTCACACACAAACACATGGACACACAGTTGTTCTTAAGAGAACATCCACAGACAGCCAGCTTAGGGTTAATGGTAATCCTGAATGCCTTGACTCAAATGTTTTGACTCAATTACCATATAGGCTACCCTACACCAAAGGTTTCAACACTCAGGGTGCCAACATTACGTAATACCTGCTTGGGTGAATTTCACCCCCAACAATCAAAGGAAAATACAATCAGCAACAGTTTCTCCCAACAGACTGGAAGAAGTCAAGATTTTTGTTGACACATGGATTCCCTGTCAATCCTGAGTGACAGTGGTGCCTAAATCTACCAAAACATGGTCATAAATCAAGCAAAAGGTTTTTTTTTATCTTTTAAAACATACCCAGACATCAGCACAGGAGGACATGTCTCAACACCACGTCACTATACTTACCAGACATATACATGCCAGTCAGTTTGGCCAAGTAAATCAGAAACACATGGGCTCCCTGTCAATCATAAATCAATCAAAGTATGTGTTAGTATGTGTATGTGTTATCACTACTTCCGCAGATCTCTGAAGGAGACCGTAGCTGGCAGAGAAAGAGAGCTAGATGTTCTGAGGAGGAAGTTGTCAGACTCTGAAAAAGAAATGGGTGCAGTGATGAAACTCAAACATGCCACGTTGCAAGAGAACGGTCAGCTGAAGGATGACCTTGACAAAGCACATCTGGAAATTCAGGTACCAAACTTTTAGGGCATTCCAATAAATGAGGCAACAAGACGGCCAACTTTCTTTCTCTCTGTCTTTCTTTCAGACTCTACAGCTCAAGCTGGATGAAACTAACGAGGAATTAGAAGACTTGCAGAGAAAAGTACAAGATCACGTTTCTGACATTTCACGCACTGAAGATCTTTTGTCTGCTAAGGTAAAGTCACTCAAACTAAAAAGATAAATGGATGACAAGCATGTTTAATGGCTAAAGGTGAACATAGTTATGATCTGTTTTGTTTGTTCTTGTTTTCTGCCCTTAAGGAACGCGAGTGTAGGGAACTGCAAGAGGCTCGAAGGAAAGTGTCTCTTCAGGTGGAAAGCTGGGAGGAACAGGCCCGGCGTGCTGAAACCACTGTCATCGAACTCCGCCTTGAGATTCACAACTCTAACATAGAGATACTTCGACTCAAGGAAAGAGCAGATAGCCTGGAGAACAGCTTGCAACAGGTCACTTGGTCATCATGATGTTGATGTTTAAAAGTATAATTCACCCAAAAATGACACTTTTGCCATACTCGCCATCATGTTGTTGCAAACCTGTAAGAATTTCTTTCTTCTGCGGAACACAAAAGAAGATATTTTAAAGAGCGTTGGCAGAGAAAATATCACCCTATAAAAATAATAATAAAAACAAACTATAGAAGTCAATGGGGCCGGTTAACTGTCTGGTTACCGACATTCTTCAAAATATCTTCTCTTGTGTTCAGCAGAAGAAAGAAATGCATACAGATTTGCAACAACAGGTTTGTGATTTGTTCCCGTGTCCAGGCACTGAGTGCAGAGCGAAGCTGTAATAGTCAGCTGTCTCAGCTGAACCGAAAGATGATTCACATGGAGGAAGATCTGCGTCAGGCCCAGACTGAGCGCACACAGTTGCAGACTGACCTGGAAAAAACACGAGAGCTCTGTGTCAAACTGGATGCAGGCAAAGAGAATGTGAGTTTATATCAGTCTGCCAGCAAAACAATACTACATAGTAATTGATGTCAGGCCAAGAAATTCAAAACAAGCGGGATTAGAACAAATGTTATTCAGCATCGTAAGCCACCTTTCCGGTTCTAAGAATGGTAAGGAAAGGTTAAAGCTGCATAATTAGAAATCATTCTCACCCTGTAAAGGGCTGTTCACACTGGGACGAATTTCTCGTGCGTTATTTGCCGACGTTTAAAGGGTTAGTTCACCCAAAAATGAAAATTGAGTCATTAATTACTCACCCCCATGCCGTACCAACCCCGTAAGACCTTCGTTCGTCTTCGGAACACAAATGAAGATATTTTTGATTAAATTTGAGAGCTGTATAACTACCACATTGGCTCCTAAGGGACTGCCTCTTGACGGCCCAGAAAGTCAATGAAGAAAATGTTTAAATATCCCAAGTGACTACCGTGGCTCAACTATATGTTTATCAAGCGACGCGAATACTTTTTGTGCGAAAAAACAAACAAAAATAACGAGTTTATTCGACTATTTCTTTTCTTCCTTGTAGGCCAGAAACGAGATTTCCTTAGATTTCCACGACGCATGCGCGAGAATTGCGATCTGCTTTACACTACTTCAGATCACAATTCTCGCGCATGCGTCGTGGAAATCTAGTATTCGCGTCGCTTGATAAACATATAGTTGAGCCACGGTAGTCACTTGGGATATTTAAACATTTTCTTCATTGACTTTCTGGGCCGTCAAGAGGCAGTCCCTTAGGAGCCAATGTGGTAGTTATACAGCTCTCAAATTTAATCAAAAATATCTTAATTTGTGTTCCGAAGACGAACGAAGGTCTTACGGGGTTGGTACAGCATGGGGGTGAGTAATTAATGACTTAATTTTAATTTTTGGGTGAACTAACCCTTTAACACCTCGTGACTAAACAAAGGGCGCCAATGTGAGTGTTCACACCGACGCGTAAAACGCCCCGTGTAAAAGCATCATTTAAAAAAAAAAAACGCCTCGGGTTCGTTTTTCTAGTTTGACGCACCGCGTCAAAAACTATCCAACCAATGAGATTGGCGCATTTGCTCACGTGCTTGGAGCTTCTGATATTGCAGTAATACACAACTTGGGGGCGCTCAAACACAAAACGGTCTTGCCGAGCACACATACAGAACGGAGAAGAAGATATACGCCAAGTAGCGTCGCCGTCTATCCACAAGTTTCCGAGGAGCGCACCTGTAAAAAATAAAGTGGGTGAAACTTCCGGTGAGGCGGCGGAAGTAGCATTCCAATGGTATTATGTGTGTTAGTTAGCCAAGAGGCTAGCTGTTTTTCGGAGAATTATTTTACTATTTAAAGACGCAAATCTTTATGAGAGATGTCGTTACGGAGCTCAGGGACAACATGTGCTGTTCGCGGTTGTATGTATAACCGGACTAAACTAAGTCAGTGGCTTAAACGTGATTGTTTTGAACATAAGCTGAAAACGAAATCAGAGTGATCCTGCCAGAGCCCGTCTCTGATCCTGCCAACGACTGTAGTTTCCATCACCTCTCAAAAGACGAATCCTCCTGTGTACATTTGTTTAAATTCTTAATATTCTATAAACTCCATTAGCATGTGTTTGGCTGTTCGCTACTGATGTTACACCTAAACTCAGGATCAAAGCCTCTGTTGACAGAATACCACATGTGCCAGTTAATGTATTTAAGCAGCACATTCATTTATAATTTTGAATAAACTCCAAAGCACAATGACTAAGTGTGTGTTTTTTATTTTAATTGTTTGTCAGCTCACACAACTGTCTGTCACCATGCCTTGATGAGTATTGATTATTAATAATGTTATTATAATACTCCCAATCAACTACTGCGGAGGGTAAAGGTACTGTTATTTCACCCTTTTTAATTTCGTTGAGGTTGTGTTCCCACATCGTTAGCTAGTTTGGATCGCTATAACTTGAATGACTGTCAACTGTTGAATGAACGAGTGTTAAGCATGTCAAGTCGCGCTTTGTTTACTTCCAACCGGAAGTCGCGCCCACTTTTGACGCAAGGCCTCATGGGGCGTAGGAAACTTGTGGATATTCTACACAGCCAGGAAGAAATAAGACGAGGAATATAGATCTGCTGGTCTCGTTGGTGTTAGAACATAAAGAACAATATGACAAACATGACAGCGACTACAAACATCTTGATAAAAGAGAACTGTTATGGAGTGATATTGCAAATAGAGCAAATGGGCACCATCTAATGTTAGAGAATGAATTTGCATGTTCACTCGGCTTATCGTCAGCGAAAATCGCTTGGGTGTGAACGCAAAAAACGCGTTGGAAAATGCTGGCGAATAACGCGTGCTGATATTCATACCCGTGTGTACGGACCTTTAGTCTGTTTTCTCTCTCACTAGGGGGCGCTTGTTAGTGTCACAGCCACATCGAACAACAGACATCATGCATCTTACTCAAATCTATGATCAAACTTCCACTGTAAACCTGCTGCAAACACTTGATGATGCGAGCGAAAATACCGGAGTGAATATGGCTGTAAACGACTTCTGCAGATTATGCGAAGTTAATACACATCCACGGTACAATCACGGCCTCTAAACTTATTTGCGCTAGAGTGAAACAAGAAAATATTTGAAGCTCTCAAACTTAGGATTAGATCTTTTAAACACGGCTCTTTGTTCCTCTAGCCTGGTAATACCAGACTCTGCTACTTCACTTTGCTTCGTAGACAGACGTAACTAACGGTAACAATTGATAAAATAAACTTTTCCCAAAACCAGTCTGGAGTTGGGCCACAACATCTCCTCCATTTTAAAAGGTTTATCAAACACTCTTCTTGTTCTGGCTTCAGGTTGAAAGCCCCCGGAATGTTCTCCATAACAGAGCGAATTGCATCCCGTGTCTCGTTTTCCATTCAATTTCTCTAAACTACAATGTAAAACTCGTCACGGCTCTCAGACCGCCCTCTGTTCGTTGATTGGCCGGCCGTCCGAAGGCCGCTGGAAAACTGAAAGACATGCTGCGTTCAAGTCCTCCTGGGAAGTTCGTACTTACGAGGTGGGAAGTCGTGTTTACGACGTGAGGTGCGTTCAAGTCAGTTTCGTCAGAGCAAAATGGCAGTGTACCTTCTTTTAATGAATTACACGAAAATACAGCAAGGTTTATTAACTCTGCTAATAAAAAAAAAATGAAGAACAAAGAATGCGCATCAGGTGTGTTTTTCTTTTTATGTTTTTTATTAGCTTATGAAGCCAATGTAAACTATAATTTTTATATTATAATGATATCATATTTTGTGCCTTACATGAAAAAGCCTTACAATGTCAATGAGTAAACATTGAAATTCAATTAAAATTTACCAGTCAACAGACGTTGAATGAACTTTTCTCACTGACACGCCCCCCAACTCGTACAGATCGGGGCTTAAAGAAAATCCCGAGCTCCCCACTGGTATTTACGACATTGTGGTGGCGTTCAAGTGCGTTCAACTCGTAATTACGATCTAAACGAGATGACTTGAACGCAGTAGGCTGCTATCTTAGCGGAAGTCTGACATAGTCAGGCTATAAGTCTGTGCTGTTAGAATGCAAAGAGCTTTGTCACCCTACATATTCTTCTAGATATGCCTGTACTATTACTGATTCTGATCTTCCTGATTTTTGGTCGCTTTGGTTAAAAGCATCTGCTAAATTATTAAATGCAAGTAAATATGAAGCTCTTAATTCTGTGAGGAACTGAATTTAAATGAGATATTTCATTTCTTAAATGTGTGTCTATGTATTGTTTAAATGCTGCAACCAAATTGCCATTGAAAAACAAAAGATGGAAAAACTGAGATGTAAAGAATGTAAATGTTCTCATCCACACAGGTGCAGCGTGAGCTGGAATCAAGCCGCTCTGAGGTGGAGATGTTACAGAAGCAGCTGACCGGTGAACGTCTGTCTGTTCAGACTTTGGAGAGCCTGCTGGTGTCGTCGCGAGAACAGGACTTACGGAGGCAGCTCACCTCTCAGGAAAGACACACAGATATACAAATTCTCAAGGATAAACTCAGCATGGCTGACAGCAAAGTGTGAGTGCACATATGACATTTCATAGAGCCCAGCAGTGGTTTCTTGTCTTTCTCTCTGTCTTCATGTCCAATTACTGTCTTTTTTGCCGTCTCTAGGAGTTCTCAGAGTAGGGAAATGGCTCATCTGAGGACACGGTCCGCTCAGCTGGAGGCAGATCTTGAGATGACGAAGAGACACCTGTCTACTGAGCGCGTTGAAAGGTGAGAGGACCACCTAAAGGGGACCAATACGCTGATTTTACGCAGCCGCCATTTTGAAATCGAAAGCGAGGCTCCTGTGGGAAGAACTCCGGTAGTACAGATAAACAACCTTGGAGTACCAACCTGAAGCTGCATGCTGCTGCGATTTACACAATTGGATGTTAATATCCAATATAGGATATGTATATAGTTCGTTCCTTCTTCTTTTTTTACGTTCTGAATTTTATATATATATATAAAGTATGAAAGAAATGTATGAAGAGTTCAGATGCAAAAGCCTCTAAGTGCCATTTGAAATTTTCTTCAAAAATGATCATTTTTATCAAGCTTGTATATTTAAGTTCAGTGATTTCACTTAAATGGCAATGAAGATTACCTATTAATTGTCATTTAAGTGAAATTACTGAACTTAAATATACAAGCTTGATAAAAATGGTCATTTTAGAAGAAAATTTCAAATGGCATTTAGAGGCTTTTGCATCTGAACTCTTCGTATGTACATTTTTAGAATAACTAATTTCTACATTAAAGGGATACTCCACTTTTTTCGGAAATAGTCTCTTTTTACCACTCCCCCAGAGTTAAACAGTTGGGTTTTACCATTTTCGAATCCATTCAGCTGATTTTCTGTTATTTAGAAGAATATCAGTAACCAGACCGTTTCTGGTCTCATTGACTTCCATAGTAGGAAAAAAATACTATGGAAGTCAATGAGACCAGAAACTGTCTGGTTACTGATATTCTTCTAAACATCCGAAAATCGGCTGAATGGATTCGAAAACGGTAAAACTCGACTGTTTAACTCTGGGGGAGTTGTAAAATGAGCTTATTTCCAAAAAAAGTGGAGTATCCCTTTAAACACAACAATACGCCATCATATTCGCAACTCTCCGATGATTAAAGGCGACGTGATATCGCCTTTAATCATGAGTATTGTGGTCCTTTTACAAAGTCTTGATCATGCTTTCACTGTGTGCGCTCAGTCTGGGCCTGACGCAGATCTTCCTCAATGTGAATCATCTTTCGGTTCAGATGAGACAGCTATTTGACATTGTTGCAGCACCTCTCTTCTCAGTCTGTCAGTAATGCTCTGTTTAGTTCCTGTCTCTTTGAAACTCCTCCTTCTGAAAAGGACATTGTGCTCTGATTAGGTGGCTGGATCAGTTTGTTGTGATTGGTCAACCATTTTGAGCATGTTTGTGAAATTTCACGCTCCTTATCATAACCACGAGTTTCAACACACTATGCAACCAGGCCTTGCCACCTTTTTTTGTGTATGCCTTTGGATGGGAATTATTGTGACGTGTTTGTTCTCTGAAGAAAAGTCAAGACTAAGGTGTTTCAGGGAGTTCAGAAACAGTGTGCACTGATATAGGGAATAACTCCCTTTGAATCAACTATTTTTAGACCTTTTTCATGCTTAAACAGCAACCTTACACACTAAAGCATAATAGGACCTCTTTAAAGGGATTGTAAAAATATTGAATATATTTGTTTCTTTGTGGTTTGAACCATGAAGACTAGGATTTGAATGTCCAGTCTATGTTTGTCTCTCTTTCTATCAGGGAGCGAGCAGTACAGGAGCTGCGCAGGCAGGGTCTCTCAGCTGTTTCTCCCGTCCTCTCCTCCACTATGCGCTCCTCATCCACTTCCCGCCATCGGTCTCTGAGTCCTCAAAGATCATGTTCTCCAGAACGCTCTCATAACGGCACACCTGACCCACTGCTTATGTCCGACTACGACAGGTTTGCTCCAGTGGTAGATTGGTCATTCTAGGTTTAAGTAAATGAACCACTGGTTGTTATATTCAGTTTATTGTGATATGTTTATACTTTAACAGGAATCTGACGTTCAGAGACCTTTATGAATGAGAAGATCTGAATCCTCCAATCATCCATGTTTTGGCTGGATTTACTAACTTCATCTGCTTGAATTCTCTCTGAAGACAATCAAGATCTTATAAGATTTACTGTGATGTCATGTTTTTAATAAATCAGTCTTTTCGTACTATAATTTTTACTGTTTTGCTGAAACTGACATTGATGCACACATGTTGTAAATAGTTTTGGAGTGGTTGGATGATAATGGATTTATGTATGTTACACATATTTCTACAAAAATTGTATTCTGCTTGATTGATTTTTTATTAGTTTTTTTTTGTATTTATTCAGTGTTGCCAGGCAACCTCTAGAATAAAAAAAAACGATCTTAAAGTCTATTATCTCTATATTTGTGTTATTTAGGATAGTGGCAATGCTAGTCTTCGTCTTTATAATCCCTGCAGTTAAAACATAACAAGGAAGAAAAAAAAACATCATTAGCAGAAGCGCACCTGTACGCTTCAGCGCGTCATGAGTCGTCATGATGTGGGTGTGGCCAATCAGGTGAGCTCACTAGTGTCGTCCAGTCTCGTGAGCTCCGCGAGTGTTGTTAGTAATCTTAGCGCAGGTGCGCGCTTCTGCATCTCCATTACACAGAGGTAAGACATCCATTTATGAGTCTTCTGTGGTTATTTTCCTGGTCATATCCATCCTCTTCGTGACCAATAGGCATGATAGTTTTTGGTGGGTTGTTTTTAAAATAAATAAATTTAGACTCAGCCTTGAAAGAAACCATTTCAAGAAAACATTTTTTGCGACGGCGATTTCCAACCATGAGATGCTGAATTTGAAAAATAACCGTCATGTCTGTCTGTCTGTCTGTCTGTCTGTCTGTCTGTCTATCTATCTATCTATCTATCTAGGCATGACGTATCCTGCCTATGCACTGTTGTATGTAGCCTATTGTAAAAACATTAGGAACTTTCAAAACAATTTTAAATTTGTGCAAATGTTGTTCTCAAAGTAGATGTCTTTCTCTAAGCAAGGTAAAGGATAGTATAAAACCTTTTAGAGGATGTAAAGTCGAAGAAAGTCACCATCAGAGGTTAAATATAATCTTTGAAGTAGGGGATGAGATATTTGAAAAGCCTGTGAAAATGAGCACACTGTTCCTCTGCTGATTATTTGATTCTGAAAAAGAGGTTTTGAATGAATAACTTTCGGTGCGTCAGACTCATGTTCATGTGATGCACTTATTAGGGCAGTGTGTTATACTGTCACATAACTGTAAATGGCTTCAACTTTAGTGATTCCACTTTCTAATCTAAGTTTGTTTCCTACTGTATTGTATATCTTATCAATAGTATCCTACAGTCAGAGATATTTATTTTTATTTATCATTTAAGATGCTCTCGTATTGCCTTTTTATCAAGGGATCATGTTGTGATTGACCTCCACTTGTATTAAAACAGGTGTGTGATGTTTGATAGGAAGTCTGTCTTGCTCACGTTAAAGTAATTATAATCCAAAGGTCAGTTCGTTTAGGATGAAAGCAGCGTTTAGGAGGGGTCAGGTATATCTTCAAAACACAGTTAATGTTCAAGCAGATTAGTCACTCTATCTGTTGAGAAGTTAATGTTTGCAGAACAAAAGCTAAACTGTCCTGAAAGGGAAAAAGATGAATGCAGAGCTTCAAGAATAAAAGTGAGTGAATAAAGCAGCGTACCGGTTTTACAGGTCTAGTATTATATTAGGCTATAAATAATAATAAATAATAATAAATTGCTGATGTAGAGTGACCAGATAAGCAGCAGTGTAAAACTTTTTTTTTTACTTCTACAGGATACCCAGGGAACATTCTCACAACTTTAAATGTTCTTAGCACAAAAACATGGAAACGTTTAATTTCTATCTAACATTGTGTAAAGTTGTCATGAAACGGAAGTTGTGATTGAAAGAGTGAAACAGCTTCTCAAACAAGAATAAATGTAGGGCGGGACTTGATTTTGTCCATGGGGAATTGATTGGATGTTTGTGTTTTTTCTATTGGTGGTTCTCTTGTGAGTGACAGGTTGCTCCGCCCTCTCGTCAGTAAACACGCCTTCAGGGAAGAGGGAGGGAAAGTTATTTCGGTTAAAGATTATTTATTTTAAAATGAATGATGTGCTAAGAAAAATCATTCATAATAAATACTGCAATGTTCCATAAAAAAATAAGAATTGTCCGACTTGATTTCATGGTGAATTTAACCATTATTACTTACTGCTTGCTTCAGTTCAGAGAACATTCAAAAATAATGTTTCCATAATGTTTGCAAAGTGATAAAATGGAATATTACCATTTAATACCATTTATTTATTTATTTTTTTAAACTGGACGTTTTGAATGTTCAGAGTACTGTAATGTTAGCAGAAAATTCTCAAAACATATTGTTGTTAGCTGGGTATATCCTATTATATTACTCATAGCCAACCTAAAAAAAGTATAAGAAAAGTTGAAATGTATCGCATGCTATACAGTGTACAAAGATGGGCTTGCCTGCGTAGATTGCATTTCACCTGAGTAACGCAGTCCTTGAATTGACGCATTCATACTAAAAGAAAAGGAAAGGTCAAATCTGAAAGAAAGAAGAAGAAAAAAAACGTAGAGAGTGTGCCAGAGTGAGAGAGATGACATTTCTGGTCGACTGGGTTACATTAGGTCAAAACAACCAGTTGCCAAGTACATAATGTTGTCTCCTTCTTTGGTTCCTATTAAAGGATTCATTTAGGATCTTTATGAGCAGGCTGAAAGGTCGATTAAAACTTGTTGACATTCATTAATTGTGCAAGCTGTTGATTCAGAGCTTATTTTTGGAAAGGTCTTCTGGGAAACTCCTCCGGTGTCACCTGCACTGTTTGAACGTAAGCTAACCTCTGAGAGACAAACAAGATGGAAAGGAAATGATATCACACACAGCTAAACAGTCTCTATGTAAGCAATAATGTGCGAGAGGCTGTGCTTTATGGTGAATAAGTCACGGTTGAACGGCATTGTTAGACACAACGCGTAGCAAAGCCCCATGGATTTGAGGATGGATTTGAAGAATGTGTGTGTGTGTGTTTATAATGAACATGAACATTATGAACACGGTCCTGAACACTAAACGAATCTTTTTGACCAATATAAGTTCAGATCATGAAGCCTACAATCAGTCAGTTTGAAAATGTAACAATACGCGTCCTAATTGAAATTGGTATCAAAGATGTAGGTGTCTTTGTTTCCACAGTATTTTCAATTTTGATATTTTTAGGTCAAACCGTTCTTGTCTGTCAGTCATATAATGGAGGTCACCTCCTCAAAGAGCATGCACAGAGAAGTCCAAATTAAACATGATTTAATGACTCGTAAATGTAAGTACACATTGATGGCCTAAGACACCAAGCGAGCGGTTTGTGTGAGAAAACCAACAGTATTTATATCGTTTTTACCTCTTGTAACCAACCCACGTCCAAGTGATCTGAAGGCACGTGCGCTCCAGTCTGCGCAAGCGCCGGAAAGCTCTAGAAGTAACCTCTTGCGCGGTTGCGGAAAAAAAAAATCAACGTGGTCTGTTGATATATTGAAATCGTCAACCATGGCAATTTCCTGTATATCTAAATATGTTTAGATCTTCACAGTGAAGGATAACACTGTGATAACACAAAAAGCAATATAAATACTGTTAGTTTTCTCACACAAACCGCCCGTTTCATGTCTTAGGCCATCAATGTGTACTTACATTTATGAGTCATTAAATCATGTTTAATTTGGACTTCTCTGTGCATGCTCTTTGAGGAGGTGACCTCCATTATATGACTGACAGACAAGAACGGTTTGACCTAAAAATATCAAAATTGAAAATACAGTGGAAACAAAGACACCTACATCTTGGATGCCCTTTAGGTAAGCTAAAACATATCAAAAATTAATTTTAACTATCCCTTTGACATTTTCTGACCCGAACACAACATCAAGACTCATGCTTTCAAGTGCCTTGTTGTCGGAAAGAATAGAAATCAAGGAGGAAGCAAGGTTCATTTTTCCTTATTTCTTACTAAATCTTATTAAAGCCAAAATGTACCGAACATATTTGGTCAACATGCGACAGGTTTTGTATAAAATGTAGCGCTCCATTTGCTGGCTACCGTTTAAACATTGCTTACGCTAGATCTAAATAGGTTGCTGACGATTCCAGCGTCAAATAAATGCTAATTTTCGATGTGTACAATACATACAATATACATCCAATGGTTATGCAAGTAACCATTGCTCGAGAGACCAATTTCCAAGTCGTATTTACTCATTAGACTTGATATAAATGTGATGAGTGCCCTTTGTGGGAGTTTACTCATCTCAGCCTAGTTTTATATCAGTTGTAGTGCACAAAACATAGATGGCCACAGAGATATGCAAATGCAGAAAAACACACCTGGCGTACTTAAACCAGCAGTTTTCAATGTCAACACAGAGCTACAGTAATTGTTACATGTCAAAGAACTAAATTACATTTTTAATCAAGTTTACCGTGGCCAAGTCAGTGGTAAGAATGAGTAACTACACAAAGGATCGGGACGCTTATTCGCATGCATCTCAACATTGATACCAGCCTTTGCTTTTTAATGACAGCTGAGAGCTTTTGACAACTTCATGTTCACTGCTGAGTGCTGCTGACTGTAAAACCGAGTTCAAATGTTGGATCTGGCAACATCACAGTCACGAGATCTAAAACATGTTCAAGATGCAATGAATCTAGAATAAATTCACTGTAAAAAGTATATACATAATACAGGATACCAACATTATAGCATAATAAAGAGACAGTATACACATTTTAAAGTACTGTAGCAAATATGTAAATAAAATGGGTGATGCAAATGTCCTTTAATTTTTCATTCTGTAAAATAAAACAGTTTGTCATGTGGATGTGGTTTGTCTCCAGTAGACATTTGTTGCTGGGTAAAAATGGGTGCCTATGGTTTTAATTCAGCCTTTTCGTATTATAAACCATGAATGCGTTATGGTATTCAGATCAGAAAATAAACTGGAATTTTATTTTTTCCCAGCAATTATTAAGCAAATGATCGCTTCAATATTTAGGGGAAAAGCCACCTGTCTACTGTAATTATTAACTCCTACAGAGGACAAAATATGCTTTAGTACACTCTAAAAAATGCTGGGTTATTTTAACCCAACTTTGGGTCAAATATGGACTAACCCAGCCGTTGGGTTAATTTTTTACATTACATTTTTAACCCAACATTTAGGGTTTGTCCATATTTGACCCAATATTGGGTTAAAACAACCCAGCATTTTTTAGAGTGTAAGGGCTTTTACTAAAGATCGTTGAGGGACTTTCCTTGAGATCATTGCAATGCAAGAGTTGAGCAAATATAGGGAAGGTGAAAAAAAAATATTTAGAAGGACATTGACACAATTGAATGACGATGGATCTCGTCAGGCTTCGAAAATGACAAAAAAAAGCACCATATCCACAATAACCAATAAGAGAATCCCTGGCAGTTTTAAAACACATCTAATTTATTGCCCTCAATCAATTTATTGCCCTCACATCCTGTTACTACCAAACTCTTTGTTCCCACCCTTTCTCTTTCCCTAACCTGCTCTTTCTGCCAGGCTATAACCACCTCTTCAACTTCATTTGCAGATGTCAGTAATGTAAAACTGGAGACCACAGCGGAAAAAGCTACAGAAGAAAACAAAGGAAGCTCTCAGACGAGGGAAAACATTCTGCCTCAACGTAAAGCTGCTGGCAAGTTACTAAGAATAAGTTACTATTTAATATTTTTGTTTGTTTTCATTTTACAACCAATTCAGCTATTAGGTGCTTTAACCAATTCCATTTTTTAAGTTATACAAATAACTATTTTCCAACTAGGAAAGATTGAATCAAAAAAGAAGAGTTGAAATGACTTGCAGTAAGCGATTTCTGAGAAACGCTGTTGACATTAACACCTAAATCAACCAAATCAACACCTGAACAAATATTTTGTGGATATTTTCTAGTCGCCTGCGTTTGCATAGCATGTTCATTAATTTAGGGTTGGGGTAATGAAGTGACAGGTGTGTTTCTTTCAAATATCAAATTATTCCCAGAAATTGTTTACTGCACCTTTAAGCAACAGCAACTGAACTTAAGTTTTTAAGTTGAGTTAGGGGAATACTTTTTACTGTTCCTCAATATTTATTTGATCAAAAACACACACTGTAAAAAATATTGTTGCTTTAACTTAAAAAAAAAACCTGGTTGCCTTAAAATTTTAAGTTGATTGAAATGGAAAAAGTGAGTTAATACAATGAAGGAGATTGATTTAATCATCAGAAACTCAAAATAATTATTTATCTGAACTAAATAAATGATTTAAGTTGATTTGACAAAAGAAAAAATGTTGTGATAGCAAATCTTGAAAATATTGTTTTACAGTGCAGTAAAATAGTAACATTGTGAGTCTTTTTAAATATTATATATTTTAAAATATAATTTATTCCTGTAATGACAAGCTGAATTTTCAGCATAATTACTCAGCAGCCAAAAAAGCCATATTTTGGCTCTTAATATGCAAAACACGTTGATATTTACGAATATGACCTGCGGGAAGAAAGCCGACCCTTGACGTTCTAGCCTTCCTCTATTACATAGCATTGATTTTTGATCTTTTGATTAAACAAAAGTCTATTATCTGTCATTGTGTTGATCCTAATCCTGACTATATTGCATAAAGAGAATGTACAGCACTTTTGTCCTCCTCTGCACGCTCAGAAGCACATGGCATAAAGACTTTATATTAGACAGCAAGGCCAACATTGGTATTTTTGTCATTTGATTGTTTGGTTAAGGCCTGAGGACAGTAGTAGCAGGTGTGTGTGCATATGCTAACACAGACATTTACATAAATTGATTGCTTAAATTTTTTATAGAACCATCTTATGCTACGTTTCAGACACACACACTCACACACACCCCTGAGAGCACAACAGGATAAAGTTACAGCCATGATAACAAACGGTTGATTGTTGTTATTAGCATGGTTATCATCACTATTATTCCTCATACTTAGGATAGGGATATTTCAACAAAGCACTAATGCCAAGTATTCAAATTTGGCATAATTATTATTCACATGCTTGTTGAGGAAATATGTGCAATTACTTTAAAGAGATACAATTTAAAATCTCCACCTGATGGATAATAAAAAAGACAGAATGTGCCAAAAGGGATGCTGCTTTTACATAGTTTGTGCTTGCTGTTTAATAATCATTTGAAACTTAGCAAACTTAGGCAGCTATAGTAGTAAGATGAAAGGTTTACCAGGAACTCTGTTATGAAAACCTATGTAGAAACCTAAATAAAGAATTTAGTAATCAATTAAAAATGAGCTTGTACCTGCATGATATTATGCTGTATCCACATTGGACCAGCAGGTTGGAAAATGGATGGAGACGCCATCTTCTGGTGAGAAGCGGGAATTCATTCGGTGCGATGCTGACAGTCCATGAAAGGAGTAGTTCACTTTAAAAAAAAAAAGACTCTTGCTGATAATTTACTCACCCCCATGTCATCCAAGATGTCCATGTCTTTCTTTCTTCAGTTAAAAAGAAATTAAGGTTTTTGATGAAAACATTCCAGGATTTTTCTCCATATAATGGACTTCAATGGGAACCAAACGGTTCAAGGTCCAAAAGACAGTTTCAGTGCAAACTGCAAACTGTTCAAAGGGCTTTAAATGATTCCAGACGATGAATAAGGGTCTTATCAAGCGAAACGATTGCTCATTTAAAAAAAAAATAACAAAGTTTAAGTTTTATAAGCTCAAATGGTCGCCTTGCTCTGTTCTGTGATGTGCGTTCGTGACTCTCCTGTTCGAACTCGTTCATCAAAATGAACAAATCTTTTTCTGAGTCAATTTGTTCATTTGGTTCATTGAATGAACCAAATTATGTTGTTTATTGAATGAACCAAATGATACTATTCCCTCCCCTTAGAAGTCATTGAATGAACCAAATGACATGAAAAAAGATTCGTTCATTTTGATGAATGAGTCACGAACGTGTATCACAGAACAGAGCAAGGCGTTCATTTGAGCTTATAAAACTTGAACTTCGTTATTTAAAAAAAAAAAAAAAAATGAGTGATCGTTTCGCTAGATATGACCCTTATTCATTATCTGGAATCGTTTTAAGCCCCTTTGAACAGTTTGCAGTGAAACTGTCTTTTGGACCTTGAACCGTTTGGTTCCTAATGAAGTCCATTATATGGAGAAATTCCTAGAATGTTTTCATCAGAAACCTTAATTTCTTTTCGACTGAAGAAAAAATGACATGGATATCTTGGATGACATGGGGGTGAGTAAATTATTAGCAAAAGTTTTTTTTAAAAGTGAACTACTCCTTTAAGGGTATTCTCTAACCGTTTAGCGTACATTGGTTGTACACTTGTTATTGCGGTGCATTATGGGATAGCATGAGTGCACTCGATAACATCCACTTTAGTTTCGGACACCACTACAAATTTCTGTCCCCTTAAATAGTGCCCAAATAAGGTATTAGGAGTGAGAACAATGCACTAAAGAACTTATTTGCTAGCACATACTGTACTGTATCAACACCTGATACGTTTATTGAGCTAATCTGTGAATGAAATAGTGTAAGTGTAGAACAGAAGAGCATTAACATTTACTGTTCATTGCAGACACTCCAAAGAATGAATCTGAGGGAATGTGTGTGAGAGTGTGTGGTTAATGAATTGTAAGAGCTTGGACAAGGGCTTGGTTTCCCAGGTTGCAGGTAGACACAATCTAGTATTCACTAAAAATTGCGTCACCCTTGTGCATCACTAAGCAACGGGTGTCCTGGCCAAAGTGAACTACTATTCCCTCCCCTTAGAAGTCACTGTATTACAAATGGCCAGTGATTGTATCACAACACAAAGCCAATAGAAAGACACAGGAGATGTTTGCACAAACTGTGGTTTGACAGTAAGACACACCAAAGAGGATGAAAGCAGATGCTGTGCGTCATCTTGTTTGCCAATATTAAAGCAAAGAGACTAGCATATGACTCTCTGTCTTTATATGTACGTCATCAAACTTTTGAGCAATAACCTGGGTTGTGTGATTTAGTAGTGCACAATTACCTTACATTTCAAAAGTAGATTCAGCTATAGAGTGCCGAAGTTATGACGTTACTTTGTAGGCCAAAACACGGAAGTGAGTTAGCATTTTAGCTCTTCCGGTTCCCAAAGTCTATGGGTTTTTTTGAATGGGTTTTTGCTAAATCGCCTGAAATAAGATCTGAGGTTCACAAAGCCTCTAAATATGTTCATGTTTTGATCTATGACATAAAACACACCAGTTATAACCTGCTTGTGGTTTTTCAAACTTTATTGTGTCTGCTTGTGGTTTTTTAAACTTCAAAATGTATACATTTTGGATTAACTTCTAAAGATTATCTTGATAGACAAAACATACTGTATAAGGGTCACAACCCTTTGTTGAACACAGATCTTATTTTTTTGCGATTTTCCAAAAGTCTGTGGGGAAAATACATCGAAGGAACCCATGCCGCTGACTTCCGAGTTGTCCTACAAACTGACGTCATCACTTCGGCACTCTGTTGACTGTATTAAGAGCTTTTAAAATGAAAAATGGAGCAGCTCTTTCCTTATTAGGACATTGAGGATTCTAACAAATGCAGGATTAGAACAGGGCTCATCACCTTTGAACACAGGAAGTGATGTACTAAAGTGCAAACAGAGTGTATCAGCTGATCTTTACTGATATAAACAAGACATGCAGTTGACACTCCACAGAGTTTCTATTTAAAGTCTTGTTCGTAATACCATTACAGTCTGCACACACTGAGATTTATATGCTTTGCTTTTTTTTGAGTCATTAAATGATTTTCTCTTCTATTGTGGATCAACAGATAAAAACATGGAATCCTGCCCTGCAGAAATGGACAAAAATGGAGAGGAACTCACAGGTTTGTGTTCGAATTCCTGATTTGAATACATTCACACATTTTCTTTTTAAGGATTTATTAATGAGAAATACATGCAATAGTGATTTTACTACGTTTAAGGGCTATTATTTTTAGACACAACATTAAGAAAGATTGTCTAAAACAAACTTAACCATATTTAAATCACTATAACCCTTGAAATAAGACACCAATATTGAATAAATCATTAATAATAATAAAAAATAAACAACTCTGGTAAATAAAATCAGACAGAACCAAATCTGACCTTACTTTACAAACAGATCTTCTTATGACGTCAAACTCTATTTCTGGAGATCCATGCAAATCAATCTTTCTTATTCCTGGTCTCTTCAACAGGACGGAAGAAGTCACGCTTTAAGCAGCTGAAGACGCGTCTCTTTGGGAAACTGAAGAAAAAGGAAAGCGAAGGGCTGATTAAGCAAAGCCAGTCCGCTAGTGACATCACTGCTCCAGAGGCCATAAGGGAAGGCTACGACTCTGAAGAGGAGTTTTCGTAAGTCACTGATGTGTCAATAAATTAAAGTGGCCCTATTATGCTTATTCTCTCATGTTGTGTATACCATAGCATAATAAATAATAATAATTTGTGAATGTAAAAGGTCTGCAAAAGTCACGATAAATGTTAATGTGTAAGTTATTGCCTACATCGAGTCATCAGAAATTCCAGTCTTATTTCCTACACGAATTTGCATAGGTTTAAAAAAAGCATAATGCCAGCCTATGGTCTGTATTGGCCGCCCTAGAACATCATCTACTTTGACCCTTAAGCACTAGTTGTAGCCAAGTCTGATAAGTTTGGTTCATTTTATCAAAAAGACAAATCCACTTTGCAAAGTAGACCAATCACAACAGACTGAACCATCTGACCAATCAAAGCAGAGTAGACCAATCACAACAGACTGAACCATCTGACCAATCAAAGCAGAGTAGACCAATCACAACAGACTGAACCATCTGACCAATCAAAGCAGAGTAGACCAATCACAACAGACTGAACGTTCTGACCAATCATAGCAGAGTAGACCAATCACAACAGACTGAACCATCTGACCAAAGCAGAGTAGACCAATCATAACAGACTGAACCATCTGACCAATCAGAGCAGAGTAGACCAATCACAACAGACTGAACCATCTGACCAATCAAAGCAGAGTAGACCAATCACAACAGACTGAACCATCTGACCAATCATAGCAGAGTAGACCAATCACAAAAGACTGAACCATCTGACCAACCAGAGCAGAGTAGACCAATCACAACAGACTGAACCATCTGACCAACCAGAGCAGAGTAGACCAATCACAACAGACTGAACCATCTGACCAATCATAGCAGAGTAGACCAATCACAATAGACTGAACCATCTGACCAATCATAGCAGAGTAGACCAATCACAAAAGACTGAACCATCTGACCAACCAGAGCAGAGTAGACCAATCACAACAGACTGAACCATCTGACCAAAGCAGAGTAGACCAATCATAACAGACTGAACCATCTGACCAATCAGAGCAGAGTAGACCAATCACAACAGACTGAACCATCTGACCAAAGCAGAGTAGACCAATCATAACAGACTGAACCATCTGACCAATCAGAGCAGAGTAGACCAATCACAACAGACTGAACCATCTGACCAATCAGAGCACTCGTTGTAGCCAAGTCTGATAAGTTTGGTTCATTTTATTCACATGTCAAAAAGACAAATCCACTTTGCAAAGTAGACCAATCACAACAGACTGAACCATCTGACCAATCAAAGCAGAGTAGACCAATCACAACAGACTGAACCATCTGACCAATCAAAGCAGAGTAGACCAATCACAACAGACTGAACGTTCTGACCAATCATAGCAGAGTAGACCAATCACAACAGACTGAACCATCTGACCAAAGCAGAGTAGACCAATCATAACAGACTGAACCATCTGACCAATCAGAGCAGAGTAGACCAATCACAACAGACTGAACCATCTGACCAATCAAAGCAGAGTAGACCAATCACAACAGACTGAACCATCTGACCAATCAAAGCAGAGTAGACCAATCACAACAGACTGAACGTTCTGACCAATCATAGCAGAGTAGACCAATCACAATAGACTGAACCATCTGACCAATCATAGCAGAGTAGACCAATCACAACAGACTGAACCATCTGACCAAAGCAGAGTAGACCAATCATAACAGACTGAACCATCTGACCAATCAGAGCAGAGTAGACCAATCACAACAGACTGAACCATCTGACCAAAGCAGAGTAGACCAATCATAACAGACTGAACCATCTGACCAATCATAGCAGAGTAGACCAATCACAAAAGACTGAACCATCTGACCAACCAGAGCAAACTAGACCAATCACAACAGACTGAACCATCTGACCAATCAGAGCAGAGTAGACCAATCACAACAGACTGAACCATCTGACCAATCAAAGCAGAGAAGACCAATCACAACAGACTGAACCATCTGACCAATCACAGCAGAGTAGACAAATCACAACAGACTGGACCATCTGACCAATCAGAGCAGAGCTTCAGACAAGCTTTTTCAACCTTGGATGCAAACCAATTGTAGAAGACATTCAAAACAGAATTAGGAACCTTCGAAATAGCATAATAAGGGCACTTTAACATCAAAGAGCTGTCCAGCAGCTTGTTTACTAAATTATATTAAATTGGATATTTGTAAACTATTTTGCATTGATGTGTGTGTGGGGGTGTATGCATGTATAAAACCTAAAATATATACAGTAAAACAATGGTACAATATATTAAATATATCCTATTTCATATAACCATTAAAAATATTTAGTACAGTATCTATGTTATTATACAGATATTGTACTGATGTTTTAGTCCAGATATTCTACTGAAACAAAAATAAAATAAATGAACCTTCTAAATCTGTTCCACAGGTACCCACAGTGTCTGAGCTCCAGGGCGTTGTCTCACGATAGCGTCTTCTTTACTGATCAGACCCAGTCCACAGAACCAACACGTGTTCTTTCACAGGAGAACGTTCATGACAAAATTAAGGCCTTACAAGTAAGGCCTTCTTTGTGGAGAAACCAACAGCTTGCAAATGTTTTTGTTAGAAAAAGACAACAGTTTATTTGAACTACTCTTATTATGCTACAGCAGTGTGCGTTGTTCAACTTTAATTTGATTTAAGGTCGGGGTTCATTAAATAGCAAGCGGTTTATATTTTATTCCGGCAGTTGAAACTACAGCAACAGAACTTACATCTAGGTCCTCCTCCAATGTCGATTCCTGGCAAACGCACGGAGGACTCAGGAACCACTTCAGAGGATGATGGTTTACCGTGCAGTCCACCTGAGACGTCCTTCTACGAGCGAGTGAACCATACAGACGTTTACAAGGTAACAGAACAATTGAGATAGGTATTGAAAGTTAGGGTACACTTAATAAACAATAGAAAGTTTAGGTACACTTAAAAGAGCCGTATGTAAGATTGTGGTCAAAACTGGTACTGCAATCATTTTCAAATGACTGTACAGTGGTGTATCCTTTTTTCTTACAGTATCCCGAATCTCAGAAACATCTGAGCTCTCTGAGTTTAGCTGGAACGGGAAGTGAGGAAGAAGAACAGGTAATATTCATGTATATATAATAATACGTAATCTTAACACACTGCATTATTCAAAACAATCTTCACAAATAAACATTTACAAAGAAAATATTTGATGGTAAATATTGTCTCACTCAGGGTGATCCTTTCCAGCCATCATCAAGGCCTCTATCCCCAGTCTCCAAACCATCCCCTCAGCCAATCATCTCCCCGACCTCCGCCTTGACCACTCCCCCTTCAGGAGTTGACTTCAATAGCCCAGCATGTTACATGGCCAGTTTGGATAACTCGGCTGCCCGTCATCGCATGTCAGTCAAACCGAGGAAACAAAGAGCCAGCACAAGGGGAAACAGAGTGCCAACGGTAAGACAGTGAGGGTGATAAAATGCATATGCCTCAGCTACTTCACATCAAGCTGTGTATAAATAGATTTAAAGAGCATAAAGTAGTTTAAATTGGATTAATGTGACAACATTAACACTGGATGTGTTAAAAACTAGATCCCTCTCATTGTAATCAATGGCAGTGTGGGCACTGGAAGTGCTTATCTTATTAATTTAGAATTAGTTTATTTTCACATATTTGTTCATTTTATTCTTCAGGTAACTAAAGTTATTTTGCCATTATAGTCCCATTCAAAGTATGATTTTATTTTCAAAGGATGTTAACTAAAACCACTAAAGGTCTGAAATAAAATATAAATAGTAGATGAAAATCTGATACTTTAAATCTGCAAAAAGTTATTAATACTTGATCAGTACTTAAACAAAAAAATGTGATAGCATTTTCGATCTCTCTTTTCCAGGTATCTATTTCTCCCAGGTATCGGTCAGAAAGCATCAGTGATCTGGACAACGTTCTGTCTGAGGAGGATGATGATGATGGCACCACGACGTCCACAGAGACAGAGCAACGCAGTTTGTCTTCCTCTCCGTCTTCGGACCTGAAGGAGAAGCCCATCTCCACAGAACCTACAGAGACATCTCCAGCAAAGTCAGAGCAGAACCAGGAGGAGAACCCCATCATAACTGAAATTAATTCCCCATCTCTGGGTTTGTCAGAAGAGCCTCTTGAATCTGAGGGCAAAGTCACCACAAATCCTCTTTATTTGCAGCCCATGTCCTTTGGCTTGACCTCAAGCTCCTCGGGTCCACCGTCACCATCAGGACTTCCAGAATCTACACAACCATCAAGAGCAATAGTGTCATTAAGAGCCCATTCACCTATCCAGAGACATGATCCAAATGATATCCAGATTCAGACGAGTGAGAATCTTGTGTGTGGAACAAATACAAAGGAAAGCCCATCGGAGGAAGCATCATTTAAACAATTTCCTGTACCTCTGCCTCGCATCAAAAATCTGAAAATGGAAATAAGAAGCCCTACGTCTCCAAAAGGAGCCATGGAGGCCTCAACAAAACCTATCATTGCATCTGGAAAGTATCACTCCAAAACAACAAGTGAGACTGTGACAATGCAGAATGAGGGACATTTGAAAGGTACTCCAGGAATCAAGACTCAATCCAACAAACCCAACCTAGAGCCACAGAAAGATGAAGCAAGAGAAACGAAACCAACAGAGTTTCAGAATCTCCTCAATCAAACACAAGACACAAAGAGTTTTCGTAGAGAAGTAACGCCTCCTATTATGTCCAAACCAACAACAGGAACCAATCTTAAGACTGATATTGCTACAGAACACGAGGCAACAGAGAAACTAGAGGAACCTGAAGACAGAAAACTGAAGAATACTTTTGGGGTGCAGCTCCGCACAACCTCTCTGTCGCTAAAATATCGCTCTGAGGTTTCCAAAATTAAAGATGAAACCAAACGGTACAGTTTAGAGTCTAATACAGTGCTAGCTAACTCGGAAGAGCATGCTGGGAAAACAGAAACCTTCAGAAATATGTGCGATGGCAATTCCAAGAATAAACACAGTGTTCCCAAAAAACAAGATTCACAGAGCCTGGAGTTTCAGCCTGCTGCCCAAGACAGTGAGTGTAAATGTCTTTTTTTTATTTCTGTTAAACTATATAATATTTGGTATCGTTTGTTGAATTGGTTAAATCATTTATATATGTATATATATATATACACAAGAAAACATATATATAACATACAACAATTCATAAAATTAAACTAAATATTTAAGGAACTGGATATTTGAACCAGGGTTATTTATTATACTATTTTGTATAGTATTTAGTATGCCCATTTCATGTAGTGTGTAGTACAGTTGTTTGTGAATGTAAAATGTCTGTAAAGTTTTAAAGATCAAAGTGCACTCAAATAAAGTTCTTGTCTCCTAAAAAAACAATCCATTCAGAACTGCTGAAACGAGTCGTCAGCAATTCCAATTCTACTTCCTGTTAAATATATAAGTAATAATGTAACCAATTTTAATAAGGCCCGCATATGGTCTTCATTGGCTGCCCGCAACATCTGAGGCAAAACAGACTGGGCCATCTGACCAATCAGAGCGGAGTAGACCAATCACAACAGACTGAACCATCTGACCAATCAGAGCAGAGTAGACCAATCACAACAGATTGAACCATCTGACCAATCAGAGCAAAGTAGACCAATCACAACAGACTGAACCATCTGACCAATCAGAGTGGAGTAGACCAATCACAACGGACTGGGCCATCTGACCAATCATAGCAGAGTAGATCAATCACAACAGGCTGAACCATCTAACCAATCAGAGCAGAGAAGACCACTTACAACAGACTGAGCCATCTGACCAATCAGAGTAGAGTAGGTTCTCAGAAAGTAGGGGTTTATAGAGACTGAATCCAAGAACAAACTGTTTTCAGACACTGAAAGAAATTATTGATTGGAATGATGTACCTTGGTTGCATGTAAACCAATTCTAGGAAACCTCCAAAACAAAATGACCTTTAAAAATATTTAAAACAAAAAATAAATAAAAATTTTCACCTAGTTGCCAAGTCAACCTTTCACATTCTCATTTAGTTTGACTTGATGTATTAAAATAACTAAAACAGACATAAAAAATATAAAAAAAAACTATATAGAAATGACAAAATGAAAAATTATGTTATTTGTAATCTGAAAATAACAAAATCATACAGAAGTACTGGTTTTGCTGAGATTATTTTATTTTATTGCATCTTTGAGAGTCTTTAAAAAATGTTGCTCAACTTTTAACTATTTGATATTCTGGGCAATGATGGGTGACTTACACAAGAAGAGTCTGACTGACAAGTAACAGCCAATCGCTGTTTGTTTGATTGAAATGTGCCCTTTTGCAGTGGGTTTATCTGAAATTGTTAATATTGCTGTGGAAAAACAAAATAACTGCACAGCAGTGAAAAGTAATAATTATTATTGTGTCATTTCATAACACAGAAAACAAATTTAAATGTACAGTTCTTTCTAGTTGACATGTCTGCCTTAAAGTTTTTTTGTTTTCGTTTTTTACAGATGGACCCAGAGAGAAGACCAGAGCTTACCAGCCATTCTTGAACAGACTGGCCACTAATCACTCACCAGTCCACCCTTCACCTCCAACAGCACCTCTCGCACAGCCTCCCAAACCTGTACAGCCTAAAACACAGCCACTGACCACCGCCACGCTTCATCCTCTGAAAACACAGCACACACTGAACACACCGATTCAGCCGGCCTCACAGAGACTTTCTACTAAACCAGCACCTAGTGGAACAAAAGACAAGCAGGTAACTGGAGAGCACAGAACACACTATATATATATATATATATATATATATATAATTTAATGATTTCTTTACTCTTTTGGTAGGAACTCAATGGTAGGAACTGTACACCAGAAGACTATACAACAAAGAGAGCAGCAGCTTTCAACAAGATGGATGGGAATGCAAAACACGTCCCACCAAACACAGAGAGTAAGCCACTTTGACTGTAATTTTCAAATGTTTGCAATTTTTCTGCTGTTCTTCAACGCTTCATCATTTGATATAGACGTTGATGTGCATGCCCGTGTTCCTTTCAATAGCACTTACCGTCACATCTGAGCTTCCAGCAACATCAGCATCATCATCGCCACCGGACGTCTCTCAGCAGCAACAGCCACGGTCAGATGGAGCTCAGCCGTCCTGGATGGAGCTTGCCAAGAGAAAGTCTTTAGCATGGAGTGACAAAACTTTAGAATGAAGACGAGACAATCAACCAGAGAGATTCAATGATGGAATACCCAATGTTACAGTGAATGAATGTAAAAGCTGTGTGTGTGAGATGGAGTGAGTGATAAATTGTTATCTCTTGTGTGCTTATATATTCGTCCCCTTGGAATTATAAGGTTCTATCTGACATTTTTGTCAAAATTGAGTTATTCACATATTCTTATTCTGTGACAATTTATTTACATTATGTGATGTGTTTTGTACATTTAGGGTCACTGTTATTTTTATGTTTGAAAGAAACTTGTTCCCCATACACATTTTCCTATATGGAATGCAAAAACGTTGAAGATCAATATCTCAAAACTGTTCAGAACGCAGATAGAACCTTTTAATTCCAAGGGGACGAATTGTAGAATTATAATTCATTTGCATTAGTAAGATGTTACTCAATGGTTTTACACAAATGTTTGTAAATAATCAAGCATTGCTTTTTACATAGTAATTATGAAGAACTATAGTTTATCAGTGTTTTAATAGTAGGCTATGTTACATTTAAACTGCTGATTCCCAATATAGTGATAATAAACTTAAACAGTGACTACTATGCTTAGTAGATACAGTGAGTCAATGGTATTGCATTATATAACAATAGCCTATATCAAAGTGGCATTTATAAAATGCAATATTACATCAATACAAGCTTGCCTTACTCCATGAGAACATGATGGTTACACTGCCCTCTGGTGGATACACCATACCCTGACAACAAAAGTGTCAAATATAAATCCATGGCATGTTCATATTCCATTAAAATTAGGATGACACGTGGCAATTAGTTATATAGATAATTAGTGATTCTCAAGATTCATTTTATAATTTTTCCACATCTCACCAACTCTTATTGACCTTTTTTTAAAACATAAGTGCTCTGGAAAATCCCAGTAAGCAAAATGTGCGCAAGCATGCCACAAATATGTTTTTTAAAGGGGTAGTAAAAGCTTTAATCGCCACCTGTGCTGAATCTGAAATAGCATAGGGCCATACTTCCCTATAGTAACGCTTTGCGACAAAAGAAGTATTTCATAAAGAAAAGAAAAAAAAAGGTAAAAAGTAACCGGATGACCTTTTTATGAATCTGATTCACCTGTGTGTTTGCTCTCCACAGCGCTCTGATTTACAGATTGTATGGCCTACAATTTATTGTATATGCAAAATGTCTAATCATGCAAGCCCCAGGTGTGCCAGATCTTAGTTCTGTACTCATAGACCTGTATAACAATGCAAAACTGCACTAGATATAGATATCTTCACACTTTTATTCCAGTATATGATTCAAGAACTTCCTTCGATTTTCCACAGAAATGTGTAATCATCATAATGATGAACACCAAAGAAATCTCTCCAACTGGGAGCAGACCACCTGGACGAGAAAGTGTAAAAAGACAGCTAAAATTAATTTATCAATATACAAAAGAAGAAGGTGAGTTGGAAATAAGGAGTGGATCCGTCAGGCTGTTTGAAGTCGGGCATTGTATTGAGGCGTTATTGTGTCTGACGGTGAGCGATATAATGAAGACGACCTCCCGTTGCTCTGACTCGCCCTCTTCATCGTCTAATTGACCGGGGAGGATCCCCAGAGTCCTCTGTTATTATTTATTAACAATTCAAAGATAAATAATTCACGACTTTGAAAAGAAGCTTGCGGACCGAAGCTCTTAATTGAGCTTGGGAAAGGAATGGTAAGGCCCTTGTCCTGATTTTCACACCTTTCTTTCTGTTTTCTTTCTTTTCTTTTCTTCTTTTTGTCTTAACCTTAGGCTATATCACACAAATGCGAGCTTATAGGCTACTTGCGGTGCATGCTTGTGTTTGTGGGGTGCAATATAACATGTATTCGTGTTTTTTTCTTTTTTTAAAAGTCTTATTTTTCATAAATTTCACCTTTATTGTAAGCCGCGCTCTCCTCTGACAGGAGAAATACCGGTTGACTTACTGATTCTATGAAACCATTTCCTCAGAAAAAGGCAGTGGGCTCAGATTGGTTATTTTTGGCCGGTGTGTTGTGATTGGCTAAACTCTAGTGCACGTGTTGTCTGGATAACGCTCATTACCTTTATGGGCGAAAGTTGCATGCGTGTTCCTGTCAAGCGGCGATGAAGAGAGGCAAACAGAAGCTCACCACACACGGCTCTTACAAAACGTTTCTGAATGGTAATTTGCCTATATATTAACATTTTGCACGTTTGTTTTACACAATAGCATCAAACTAACTGGCTATATACACAAACAGCGTTGGTATTGGTTTAGGGGCCTACGTTCTTGATCAAATCGAAAATAACGTCATAAAGTATACAGACATAAAAAATACATTTACAAAATTAGCACATATACAAATTCAGGTCCAAAATGTTTGTACACGTTTGTCGTAGACAATAAACAGCATAACTATAGTAGCCTAGTGGCTATAAAGCCAGCGCTGGCATTTGATAAAACTAAAACATTACGTCTGAAATTATACATGCGAACACATTTAAAATGATTAAGTCTTAGCCTACTTACAGGTTGTGGCTTTTTTTGTCAGGGAAATTTCGCCGAGACAACGCTAATGTTACCGCGCCTTAAAGGGTATGTTTACACGTCCATGATGTTCTTAAAACCGACAACAAGATTGTCAAAATAACAAGATTAACAAGATTTTAATGACGTATTAGTAATTGTTAATAAGGATTCATTAAATGCTGTATACGTGTAGCTCATTATTAGTTCATGTCAACTAACAAACCTTGTTATTGTAAAGTTACCAATATTTGAAACTTAGTCATAATTGCAAATAATTGACCAATTTTAAAATATAACACATAGCAATGCTGAAAACCACTGTGAACAACCTAGCAATCTTACAGTCCGTCTACACAGTTGCACAGCTAGAAGCTGTCGCAACAAAGGGACCATTGCAAATCCATTTGTCCTTCCTATGAGATGTGTCGCAGAGTGCTTGGAGTCGGTCATAAAAAGAACGAGGCATTGGTTTACTGCCGGGGATTTGTCACGTCACGCCACATCCAGTGTAGACAACATCACTGATTATAATGGGTTCTTGTTGCGGTGTTAGCATCTCTCAACTTTTAAAACATTGCACTTGACTTTTTTTTTTGTTTTGTTGATAAATTCAACAGTCAACACTGTTAATTGTTTGTTTTAAATTATTTATGCCATAATTTACAGTAAACATGGATCCGGCGGGATTAGCCCTCCTCTTACATTGACAAAACAAGAAAAGCTTCAATTCTGCCACAGGACTTTGAAATGATCTTATTTTTAAAATGTCTCATGCTTCTACAGCATGCTAAGTTTGATCAACATGGCTCTTCAGGGCTTTAGATCATTAATAAACCAATCTTGATTCAAAGCAGCTAATGTTTAAAGTTTGCTTTTCACTGAAGTACAGTTTCTGCTGGGATATAAGAAGTCAGAGAAACATCCCTCTGAAGGTCTTCTTTAGCTTGCTTCTCATCGGGGAATGGTTCATCAGAAGTTTTCAACAAGGTCCATAGAAATCTCCAGTTGCCACAGCACTACACACGGAGCCTTTAATGATCGCTGCTCTGTGGGAGAGTGCAGATGGGAAGATAGTTTAACTTCGCTCCCTGTATATTTGTATTTTTGAAGACATCACTGTAGACTTTCGCTAAATCTAAAAGTACATCAAAGCATTTAACGCAGATTCTGCTAAACATTTGTCTGGTCCTTATTACCAATGTATCGAATGCCCGTGGGACACTGAAGAGTCTAAAAGGAAAAACAAACATGCGCCTTTAGCTAACAAATAACTGTTTATGCCGGTACAAATGAACATTCAGGGTAAACAAATACTCTCCAATGCTAAAATTAAAATTTGTGGTGCCTTGTGACTTATAAATGATCAATAACAATGGTTTATCTCAGATCAAAAGATTTAAGTCAGGTGTAACAATGAACTTTTTAGTCATGAATGAATGGGACCAGTTTCCAACTTATTAATGACGCTCTGCTTTTATGAGCACAGAACTGCACTGCTTTGTGAGTGGGTCCCGGTCCAAGGTGGAAACACGTCTCCAGAGACGCTGCATTTTGCTTGCTTGATCTAACCGAGTATATTCCGATCCATCTCTCGCATGCTGTAAAAGCAGATCTTCAAACCCGCAGAGAACCGGGTGAGTTTTGAAGCCCGGGCTGGTGAATAATAGAACAAAGAGAGAATGAGCCTTCTGAGGTTCCACGGCTCTTCAGGACCCCTCTGTTGCACGCAGGGGGAAGAGGGTGGAAAGAGATCTGCCTTTTCATAATAGAACGAGCTGATGGCTGGAAAACAAATGCGAAGAAGACATATTATTGTATTATGTTCGGTTTAGATGACAGATGCCCACATTTACACCTCGGGGATGATGGGTAAAACTTCTTCTGAGAGGATGTTGTACGTTTTCTTGTTTTAGAAATAAAAGCCGTCTAGGGTTGAGTGAGATGTTCGTGAACATTTCGCTGTCGATGGTGAGCTTTTTATGTGGCCGGGTTTCCAAAAGATGCGTCATTATTTTGGTGACTTATAGCAAGACGTGGATGCTTTCGTAGCATCTCTAATTTCAAACTCGAAATGGCGTTGATAAGTGGATATTTTTTTACATCACAATAAATTTAATTCAAAACTCTGATTTGTTTGTTTTTGAATGTTTCCGTTGGGAAGCGAAGGTAGGTCAGAAGTCTCTTCTGCTCTCCAAGGCTATATGTTGTTCAAAAATACAGTAAAATCAACAATATTTTGAAATATTTTTACAATTAAAAATAACTGGTTTCTATTTTAATATACATTAAAATGTAATTTATTCCTGTGATGCAAAGCAAAATTTTCAGCATCATTACTCCAGTCTTCAGTGTCACATGATCCTTCAGAAATTATTCTAAATAGGATTTGATGCTCAAGAAACATTTCTTATCATTATCAATGTTAAAAAAAGTTGAGCTGCTTAATATTTTTTGTAAACCGTAATACATTTTGGTGGAAATCACAATACATTGCTGTAAATTTTGCAAATTATATAATGAAAATTATTCAATTATTACTTGTTTTTATTTTTAAACTATCTTTTTACTGTATTTTAATTCTTGCTTTAAGCATTTTGAATTGATTGACTGTCGACAATTGTTGTTTGGTTGAACGTCGTTCCTCTGAGTCTGATTGAAAAGAAATCACAATTTC